CACTTTGTATTTTGGAAGTGCACTTGTATAAGCCAATTGTCCACAGGTGCCGTGTGATTGTACGACTTACTAAAATTGTCCCCATAAGTGGGTAATCTATTACTGCCTGATTAAAATTCGGCACCCAGTCAGCATTCACCTAACCGTCTCCTAAGCCCCCATAGATGCTGGGGAAGAAAATAAGCCTGCCTTGGAAAATTACCAGCTTTTACTTCCATATCCGTTTTCGACATTTCGTCTCTCCTTCCCGTGACTATCTTCATGCACTCCCACCCGCCATCCTCCTCCTAGGACTCTATCTTGCCGCTGGCCTTCCCAAACGTATCTGGTTGGCGGAAAGTAAGGCACTAGTGATCAGCTCAGACTGGGCCAGCGAACACGCCCTCCTGCTCATCGATTTGCGTCAGGGTATTGCTCCGTCAGACAGGATCATCCGACTACCCTCTCCGCTCGCGGACCTGCCCACGGATGCTGGCAAGACTGGTTACGGTTCCGTCTCGCTTCTAGACATCCATGAGGATGTGATTGCTGTGTGCGCCAGTTCTCTCACCACACCACACTTTCTGGCCGTCTCCAAGTTGCCGCCCACTGTCCTCCAGGCCAAAGATTGCGTCACACAGATGAAGTATGCTACACTGCTGCTGCCTGCATGATGTTCATGATTTTTTTCTGCTGTTGTGTAAGAATCGGTTTGCGTGGGGCTAGTGAATGGCTTTTAGAAGGAAGCGTGATTGACAGGTGTGCGAGAAGGAAAAAAATTCGACGTAGACACCAAGTTTGTCCTTCGTACGAGCAGGTTGATTCCATTGCGTGAAGTTGGGATTTGCCCCCATAGCTTGCGCTGGGGGGCGTTGACCACATCCTCTACTACCATTCCAAGGACTCAACTACTATTCCAGCCAGTCAGGCGCGCTTGAAGCTATCACGGTGCGGTAAAAGCCGCCAACCGGCAGCGGAGCATGGGTAGTGCCTTTCAGTCAATGACTGATTGGTTACCCCTCTCAGGGGGGTGTTGGCCCAGGCTTCATGCTGGGCTGCTCTCACCCTTCTGAGATCCAGTGGTCTGTATTCACATGCAATGCCAGTCATCAGCCAACCGCGGTCCCTGCGGCCTGGTAGGCGCTG